AGGGCCAGAGCCGCCCCGGCGACGGTCCTCCGACGTGCTGTGCTGCCCGTCGTCGTGCCCCGCGTCTTTGATGACGCATTCACGGTATGTCTTTTTTATAAGCGCCACGGGTGCCGCCGCCGGGAGGACGGGGACTGGCGGGGCTCGCTGGCGGCGGGGGAGGGGCGCCGCTTTATGTCGTCGGGCGAGCAGGAAAATTGGCCCGACCGGCGACCAGGTTTCTATATTCGGCACGTATTGTTGGATGCTGAAGATCGATGTGAGGCTGGCCTTTTGTATCCCCTTACCTCATTATCGAACGTCGTCGCCGCTGCCGCCGCCACGGGCTGACCTCGGCGCGGCATTCGACCCCCGTGTGTGTGGGGGCGCTGGGAGTGCGGGGGGGGCGGGGGGGGGGGGGGGAGCTAAATCAAGCCAGCCTTGTCGGACTTGTCGCCGGCCGGACCATGGCCGGCCGGACCTCACCCCTCGGAACGAAACGGGCCGCCTCTCTTACGGGTCCTCCCTTTCCTCGCCCCCTCTCTCGCCGGATGCGTTCCGAACGCCCCGGCCCGACGGAGCAGAGGGTGGAAAACCGTAAAGTCACCCTCCCGGAGGGGCAGGCCCGGGGGGGAAAGGGGGGTAGGCGTTCCGCCGAGTCATTATTGGCAACATCTTTCTAATGACGGCACGACATCGCCGAGGTGGTGCCCCTCTCGACCGGCTGTCCTCCCCGGGCCGCCCAAAGGCCTCTCCTCCACGTTATCGGTATTCATGGCTCCCTCGATTGCCGGGCGAGCCTTGATCTTGCCGGGCCTATCGTTTTCTGATCCCCTGCCGCCGTTAACTAGCGCCCCACTCCGCCCAACGTACCACCCTCCACCCCTATACCGAGCGGGGTGTCCACCCCCTTCTTCCCCTCCTCCATTACCCGGGCCCCGGCCGAGGCGCGCGGCGGTGGTTGAAAAATAAGCACCTTGGTTGATGTCGTCGTGGAGGTGGCGGCGACGAGAATGTCGCGCGGTTACTGATGGTGGGGAGTGCCGCGCGCGCCCCGGTACCGCGCGCGGCGTGGCGTGGCGTAGCGGGGCGGGCCGGTCTGATCAGGGGGTGGTGGCGCCCCCGCCGTGCGGCCGAGCCGAGGCAATTGCCTGATGGACCTTTCCCCCGCCAAAGACATGGAAATGTCAGGATATCGAAGCAGGACCGGGGCGGCCCGTGGCGGTGCACGCTCCCCCGAGCAGCCCCCCCGAGCAGCCCCCAAATTGCCCCAACCCCTTTTGCGCCCCCTGCCTCCCCCCTTTCACCCCGAGCCGGGGCTGGGCTCGGCTGACGGCTCCCCGCGGGACTGAAGCAGCGGGTACTCGGCGGTTATCCTGCCCTCCCTTCCCCGCCCCATCCCCCCCGCGGCCCGCACGGTCCTCCCTCCCCCTCACCCCCGACTCACCCCGCAGTTGTACCCCACGAGCGTCCCAACCCGAGCCGAGCCGGGCGGCGGCGGCGGCGGGGGGGCTGAGTAGGGCCGAGTCGACAGACCGTTTTCATGGATGGAAGTAAAGTCCGCCATCTGCGGGTGCGGGAACACTGCTACTTGACGGAAAGTGGGGCATGGCGGGGGTCTGGGGTAGGTTGGGGCGGTGGGGTGCGCTGGCGGGGGCGGGAGAGAGAGGGTGGGTTGGGTTGGCGGTCTTGGAACAGGCGAAATTTGGCTCCCGTCTGGCTGGGCCGGGGCGCTCGCCGGGGCGGGCCAAGGCTGGGGGACTCGGGGCACCGTGGGGCGGTTAACGCTAAGCCATGGTGATTGGTGGTCCGCGAGCCACATGGGCCCCAAGGGCCCGGCTGTGGAGGCCCGTGTCCTGTCCAGCGCGTCCTGGACGGACAGACATACGGACGGACGGACGGACCATCCGATCGGACGTTGCGAACATTGTAGTCTAATTAACCTTGCGTGGCGGAACCGAAGGGGGGGGGGGGGCGTAACACGGGAGAGCAGCGGGACGCGGCGGCAAGCGAGAAAGAGAGAGGACGAGCGGGGGAGCAGCAGCAGCAGCGGCTGTGTCGGCGCCCTGCTCCCCCCACACAGAGAAAGGCGCCCAAATAATGGCACTCTCGGGCGACGGCGGAGGCGAAGAAGTATAGAAAACGACTCCCGGAGCGTCTTTGTGCCGCTCAGCAGCCCGTGCCCGCCGCTCTCTGTTTAAAGGCCCTTTTAGCAGCTCCTGCAAGGTTCGGCTTGGAGGCAGCGCTACATGTCGTGCTCGCGCACCGAGTCGGCGTCGTCGTGTTGTTGTTGTTGTTGTTGTTGTTGTTGTTCGATTTCATGCTGCGCTTTCTCTCTGCTGTGCAAAGTTGGCTTAGCCGACCCCGACTCTGTGAGTCCCGCGGACCCCGGAGGCGCCTGCGAGTGCGAGGTCAGACTGTACCGGATGCAGCCGTGCCGGGCGGGTTGCCTAACAGCGGCACGCCCGCTGCCTTCGGTACAGTCCAACTGCACGGCGTTCCCTTCAGCTCGCGCGCATCTTTGTTTTAAACGCCTTGCAGCGTGAAGTCGCTCTGACTGACTGACGACTTTGCGGAGCGCGGACATCCCGCGCGCGTCTCTTTCGCACTTTGCAGAGTGAATTAAACCCCCCACTCTTCCCTTCCTCTCCTGATGACGTCGGGACGCGTCTGGACGCCATCAGCTGATCCAGCGACGGCCCGTCACACCCGGAAGGGGTCCCATTCATGGCCTCTGTCTCCCCCCCCCCCTCCCCCCTCCCTCCTGCTTTTTCCCCTCTCTCCTCTCCCTCGTCATTATCATTTCCTCGAAGGCCGCACGTCGTGTCGTGCCGTCTTTGGTGCGCATGCAGATTTAGTTTGTGTTTTTCATACATTTTCTTTTGTGTTTGTGTGCTTGGATGGCGGCGGCGACCTGTTGTCTATGCTCTCTACGCTGCTTAAAAGCCTGGCTGCTTTTGCTTAATTTCCGTCGTGGAAATGGAGTAAGGGAGGGAGGGGTCGAGAGCGGGCGGGAGAGGATCGAGAGAGGGATGGGGCGGGGGAGAGGGGGAGGCTGGATGGAGAGCAAGAGCGAGGACAGAGTGGGCGGCTCCCTCGGTGGCGCGGCACAGTGTACGCACGCGTCGCGGCGGACGACCCCGACCGCATTTGGATCATCATCTTTATTTAACGACCCTTTCTGGGATTCAACGCCGCGCGCCCCGCCACGCTGCTACGCGCCGCCCCCCCCCCCCTCTCTTTTCTCTGTCTCTCTCTGTCTATCTTTCTCCCTCTCTCCCTCCCTCTCCCTTCCCTACCTCCGCCCGCCAACCCCTCCCCATCATGGGGCTCATGGGGGTTTACTGGAGAGGAACAGAAACAT